TACCCTGAGTGCGTTGGTTGTTGAGGTTCAAAATACTTCTTTCAAAATACACTTCCGTTTCTACAGGAAATTTACCATTTACATACAGTCTCTTTCAAAATAAATACACTACGTCAGTACAACAACGCAAATTAACTCTCTAGGCATGCTACTGTAGGCATTTACATTTAAGTAGCCTACACTGCTACATGTAGCCACATGCTAACATTAGGAGAACGTGTATTCTTGGTTGCTGATGAATATCTTCCCAAATTCAGACCATATTCCTGCTGGAACAAGTCACACTGTCATTTTTCATGGATATGCCATTATTCGTCGTTACAGTCATTTCCTGGCTGCAAAGACAGTGAAGGAGACTCTGAGGTACAGAATACCCGGACATGATGACCAATCAGAGCAGAATGGGTTTTTTCAGGAGGGGCCAGGCGCTATAATGTAGTGTCTCAGACAGAGCATGAATACGGGTGTTCCAGCACAGACAGTATGAGGAAAATAAGTGTTTTTTTTTTGAAGATTAAAGCATGTAAACATGTTTTACTCGACACCCAAAATACAAGCATGAACCTGAAAATGAGCACAAGAAGTCTCCTTTTAAAATACTACACCCTCTCTTACAATAGAAAAATACGTACTTTGTAAATATCATGAATTCACAAAGACAAAAATGCCAGCTGTGTCCTGCAGATTTAATCTCAACTCATGCTTGCTTGTGTCTTTTCTGCCGCAAATTTGTTCAAGTGTGTTTATCAGCATGTACATGTGTCAGTGTGTTTAAACGTTTGTCCGTGAGTGTGTGACTGAGCTTCATTAGGGTGCTGTGAAGCGAGAGCTCTCCTGCTCTGTCTTGTCTTTGACCAGCTAACACCTTGAGTGAAACCTTAAAATTTGCTAAATGTTATCTTAGGCGCTGCATTCAGAGGCGTTTGGCAAAACTGCAGCATGAAAGAGCGGCTGTGAAGCGTATCTGGCTGGAATGCAAAACACAAGTCATGGTCATCACTCTGTCACCATACAGATACAGGCCAGGCTTTGAGGACCTAAGGTCTATGTGTGTGTGGGTGTAATTTTGTTTCCTGACAAATTTAAGCAAGGCACTTTACCCCCATTGCTACAGTAATATGTTATTAATAAAGTGACAAAAAGTTTAAAAAGTTAATCAAATGACTAGGTATAATATGACAGGGGTCACTCGTAGCGCCCAACAGACAATAATGACCCAAATCTGCAATTCCCCTCAGCTCTGGCCGGCTTTATAGCATATTTTAGCTCAGTATTTTGGTTTTCCTGCCCCAGCATTACTCTTTAAGATCATTCTCAGCACTCTCAGCAGGCAGCTGTCGTCAGAGAAGAAGCTCTGAAAGAGGACTGTATGTGGCATGTGACAAAATTAGTGGCATGCTTGTGAACATAGCTGAGCATTTAGCAGCCACAGAGCCAGATAGTTCTCTCGGACGTTGAATGAGACCAAAACAGAGCTAAAAGGAAAGTGAATGCTGGATTACATTTGTTAGGTGGCCAGAAACACAACTCCAAATGAGTACTAATGTTGCTCTGTATATTTTATGGATGTGTTAGTAGGCAGCTGTTTGCTAACAAGTTAACCAGATCGACATAGAAATGAAATGTTGGTGTTGTAGTCACAGACTGTTTCCACAGGGACCACCCATTGCTCTAATGGCCCATAATTCCAAAGCCCCAAGAGTCAGAAAACAGTCTCATTAGACCGAAAGCCTACTTGTACGACAGCCTATTATCCTGAAAACAAATGCCCATTGGTCTGGTGAAAGAAACAGTCATAATCTGTACCCACATTCACTTTTCCCATCAGAATGAATGGACTCATTCAGGGCATCCACTAATATACTAAAAGGGCATGAGAATGGCAAAACTCATGTGACACAGATACAGGAATTTAATCTTAAGTGGGCCATCTTGGTTTATCAGCGGCCTCTGGTTAGGTTTAGGCATGAAGAGTGAGATTGGTTAAGGTCAGGGTTAGCCAATCAGAGGCAGGGTGGGGAGGGTCATGCCATAGTTATATTAAGAGGGTACAATGACGTCATTCGATATAATAATTAGGCATGTACTTCTGTTTGGGAAGAGTGTGCAGCGCATTTTCGGAGGAATGACCCTGCGGACCACTGGCTATTTGTTTTCCGGATAACAGGCTATTGCGCAAATGGGGTTTCAGTCCACTGGGATATTTTGCAGACTATTTTCAGACTATTATCAACGGCATGGCACCATTCCCACTGTCTCCAAATTGCAAAACATTAAACTTAGATCAGTAATTGCAGGATTAAAACAAAATTTTAAAGATTCCATTAATATTTCTGTTAAATGTAATATTCTACAACTTACTGAATTTAACTCATAATTTGTGCAGAGTCTTGGCCCTCTCCCATTGAGTCTCATTTTTATTATCAAAACAGCTGAACTCCAGGTTGAACAAAAAGAGCATTAAGAGTGCAGCAAATAGCTTTCCAGACACAAAATTTGTTTTTACCATGTTGTAATACAACATAGATATTGCTCCTATTTTCTTTCTTATTTAATTACATCTCTGATTTTGACAAACAGTGAGGCTGCTAGTGCCTGGGTACACCAGATAGCGGCTTAGCAAAACTCATTTGCACATCCTCACAAAAAAGCTGGTGTTGGTTTTACACTCCTGAGATGTTCTCGTCTCGTTCTCGTGTTAATGTGCCTGCATGGCTCTCCTGAGAAAACACAAAGTTTAAAAACAACACCGTCTGCTGTGTGAGTGAGCACATGTTGCATGTGTCTGAGTGTGTTTACCCTTTTGAAGCTCTCAGATTATCAATCTCCAGGAGTGCTGGTTGTGGGTGCAGTGGCACTTGTAGCTTGTGGTTGTGTGTGTTATACATGGAGCAACCTGCATGGCAGTTCAAAGCCACCCTGCGCAGCGTGAGGGGATGAGAGGAGAGATGAAAGCAGCACTCGACAACGCGTACAGTCTAAAGATCACAGAGCGAAATGGCAAGGAAGGCTCACCAACATAAACAAATCAAACACACCTACATTTGAGAGTTTATCAAGTCAAGTGCACCCACATGTTGGTGGCTCTTGATGGTATGGATGCAGCAGACATCTCATGGAAGAAGAGTGCACTGTAGTGCTACCAATACAAAAGTAATACACTTATGCAAGAAAATTCAATGTCAAAGATTTCACTTCAAACTTGATTATGTATCTTTATTTATCTTGTACCAAAAATTAGAAATTTGGTTTATGTCTCCTTGAACTTCATCTTCAGCTATGACTGCTGGTGCTCATCACTTCTTCAAACATTCATTTTATTATGTCCAACCTGATGTCGAACAATGGGAATATTGACAGTCATGTGTTATGAACAAGTCGGGTTGTTTGAGTATTTTAGCGCGTCAGGCTCCCAGGCGGGCTGTTGCTTTGTGAAAGCGGCGTATTGTATTTCTTTCCTGTGCCAGAGCCCGTTTCCTGTGGAGGTGCCGTGTCAAACGATGACCCTCTGTTTCCTGCAAGTCGCATGGAGACAGGTCTGCCACGAGCCCTGGGGCCTCACCGCCAGCCACTGAACAACCTCCGTGCCCCCACTCCGTCTGTCTGTCTGCTTTGAAAGTCCCCACCTTGCCCTTTTTGGACCACACTTCTCCCAGCCCTGTCTTTTGTGTCCTTACCTCCCTTTAAATCTTGCTTATTTTATCTCCCTCCATCCCTCTTTCATCCACCTCCTTCTTCCCCGACTGCAATATTTTACTTGCCACCTCCTGTCTGTCCTCGCTCCTTTCTCCTCCATGTTTCCCTGTCCACACCTCCTTTCCCCTTAGCATCCCTTCTTCCCTCCTCCCTTTGTCCCGCTGTCCAGGTCAGAAGAGGGTCTGTCAGGCGTTTCCTGTGCAAGCCGCAGGTCCAGACCACACCTTGCGAGGGGATTTCTGCAGCTACCTTCAGTGACGCACTATAGAAACAAGGAGACATGCACCCTCATGTCTGCGTACACACACAGAGCTACTGTACATGCTCAAAGTACATGGTTGTTTTTGGCAATACGCTGCCTCGCTGAAATGATGTCTGTAGGATAAAACGAAACGTGTGGGAAAAATGTTGAAAACACATTCAACTGCAATTATATCAATGCTCCATCTAGGATAAGTCAAAACAAAAAAAGCTCAAAATGTATTTTTACATTTGCTGAATAAAATCACAGTGACCATCAGTGGAGAGCTGCCGACCTCCCTTATAAGTCAAGTCCCTGTGTTTTTGTGCACTGAAACTTTACATCATATGCAAACACCCAAAGGCCAAATCTCTGCTTCTGAGTATGAGAAAGCTGTCAAATCACTATCAGTCCCCAAAGACATCAACCACATGGCACATGGGTTTAAGACTCAACCTGCCTGACATTTGTAGTGAAGCACATAAAACTCCTATAATATCACGACTATTACTACTGGTATAGCATGTTTGATGTGTGTGCTGAAACAAACTGTGAGCTTTTATGGTAACTAAAACTTCAACTTTGATCTTGGACAACGTCCCGGTGGTACGTGAGTACGTGTGTAGGTATTGGCACAGTCCGCTATGTTCCACAGGCCAGCATGTCTTTGAATTCTCATCTCCTTGGACTGAAGGTCACGAGTACACACGCCCGCCGGCAGCAATAACACGCTTCGCTGTGGATCTCTGAAATGACTCCTGTAGTCTTCTTCCAGTCCAGGTCAGAGGCAGGATGTAAGCTGGGAGAAAAGAAGGAAGCAGAAGCAGCTCTCTCTGGCTGCAGGTAGTGACCCTGAACCTTGACCTCCAACCTCGGCCTCCATCAGTCTGACAATACGCACTCTGACAAAACACAGATGTGCAAACATGGCAGTGCTGCCTACGAAATGGCAGTGTGAAGCCTCTGAATAGCTGATCTTTCTAGTGTTAGTGAACAAACTAACTAAATTTCTATTCTGTTCTAAAGGACATAAAAAGATCAATAAAGACATTAAAATCCAGAATTATAATTTATCTTTTTATTTTCTCACAACAACAATAACAGCATGTTGCATTTGTTCACTCATTAAATTTACAGAAGTGGTCAGGAAAGCTGCATGGATTCACACAATCATCCATCCGTCCTTCCTTTATCAAACTGACAACGTTAGAGGTACAGCTGACATGAGCCCTGTCCAAAACCAACCCTCAGACCATACACAGACAAAGGTGCCAAAACCAGCATCCTTAATGCTGGTGTCTGCGCCCGAGAGATTTAAACCTTTTAAAGTATCATTAATGTATCAGCTGTCACAAAAAGTCTGGCTGTTCTTGGACAGAGCCCATGACTTTGGAAGGAGCTGCCTCACCAAGTCCAGAAGAATAACCTGCTGCCATGTTTTGCAGGCTCCAGTTTACCCTCGATGGGTGGGTTGGCCTCTGGACGTGGTCTAGAATGGTAGGGGTTCTCAGGGAGGGCCCGCGTGGTTGCCACTTTGGTCACCTAAGACAGAAGAGGAACATGGATGGCATTAGTTTTCAGGTTCAGTTTTAATGATGCAGTGTTTTACAGGGCTTGATTCTTCTTTAAAGTGTACTTGTTATTTCTCATTTTTCCCCTGCTCTTTTTTCCTTCTTTGCAATTCCTTCATGACTTCTGGATCAAACCCGTCTTTCCTTAATTCTCTCTCTGACATGTCCTTGTCTCACTCACAGCCTGAATGTGTAACTCTCTTTCCTCTTTAGTCTACTCCTACTATTTCAAACAGAAGTTGTTTCATTTGTTATACAGCGGAGATGCCAGAGGAACTCAGCCAGTGACCAGACAGTCAACCTGGATGTGTCTCAAGGTAATCTGATGTCAGATTTCTGTTCTTTTGTTTCCCTGCTCATGCGATTTGATTCCATGAACAACAGCTCGGCTTGACAAGTGCAAAATGGCCAGAAAGTTGATTACAGCCATTCACAGATTCCCAGGTTTGTCCAAGTGTCTTTCAAAGACCACAGACATAAATGTCCAAAAAACTATTGTCAAGATCAGTTTTTGGTCTTGTTTTGATTGCTGCTACCTAATTAGTGCTCGCCAGCCAGTTACACAAGCCCCTTAGAAATGGCAATTTTATGAGAAGAAAAACCAAAGCAACATAGAATACATGATTTGCCTGCTCACAACTGTAGCCGAATGAGAGCACTACGCAGATGCAATCAGAGCCTCTTGCACAGCCCATAATCAGCCAGAATGGAGCCCATCAACTGAGCTGTTCACGTTGTGAATGCAGTCAATCCCTCACAAGTCTCACCTTAGACAGGTCTCCCAGCTCAGGTCTCTGCCACCCCAGCTTATCAAGGACGCAGCTGTCGAAGGCTTGCTGCTTCTGACGGCAGCGGCGAAATTCTCCCAAGTTTGAATAATCCAGACAGGTCCAGTACTCTGTGAAGGACTCGGCACAGTTTCCCTTGATTTGCCTGCGAAGTACAGTGAAACGAGAGATTTTAGCACAATCAGATATGCAAGAATGAGATTGAAAAAGTCCAGAAAACTCAGTTGCTGTGCATGAACTGGAACTCCTCTCCTTAAACATGCTAAAAAATAAATGTTTACAAAGATATAGTGAGCCTGGAGAGAGAATGAGACAGATATGAGACAGACAGTGTTTTATGGTATTGTCAGTGTTTTATGGTATTGTTAAAATGTACTGAAAATATCCAAAAAGAACCGACACACGCACTGAAATCATTCTACCAGTCCCTCCAGGATTTTGCAAGCTGTTTTCTTTGCGAATGTTGCGGCCTGATTTGGCTGCACAAATACTTGCAAAGCTGTCTTAGATTCAGAGCCTGTTATTATGAGCATTCAGTGTTTCCCACAGAATTAGAATCTATGTGTGATGGCGGTGGATGGGAGGGTGGTAACAAGAGCTAATCAGTGACGATCAGTTCGATGCAGCGCTGAAAGACCGTCTCCTTAGACTGGTCTCCTCCTGCTCTCTCTGCCCAGTTAGCACGAGCTAACACAGCAGCAGCAGTAGCTAACGTCCAACTCCAAGCCGTTTAATGGTCCCAACAACCAGTGTCAGAAATTAGCAAGGGCCACGGGCCATTTGGCCCGCAATTTATCCAAGAATGCCCCCAAAAGCCATGTTCCGGGGGCCAAAATTGCCCCCAAGTTTTTGAAACAACTATATGTATTTATATTTTTAACAGTATTACAATCTGACATTAAAGTATAATTTTATTTTCATTAAATTAATTTATCGTCACATCTACAACTCATTTTCCAGACATAATCAACGAGATTGCACTGATTACGTGAGCGTAATCTGACAGAGAAGGGGAGGGGGCTTTGCTGTACCATAAGTATAAATGAACCATTTCTTGGGTGATCTGTGTCTACACAATGAAAAATTAATGAAAAATTAAGGTAGAATGAATGTTAAATTTTAAATTAACTTACTTCCAGGATGGCATCTAAGGAATTTATAGTAATTTGGTCTTTTTAACAGTAAACGTAACTGTAATGTGGTGAAACATTAATACCGCTATCAGTAGATTAATGGTTAAATCATCACATTTAAACTGGTTGAATTATAGGAAATCTGAGTGTTATTTTGCAACCATAACTTTATGTAACCCATTATTTATTTCATTTATAGTGGTTTCTACTGAAGAGTGAAGACACTATCTTAGTTGTTTTTTTCTTTTCATGTGCTTATTGTTAGAACATAATTACAATTTTTTGATGGCCCCCAAACATTTTGAAAATGCCCCCATTTTTTAGACCGTGGGGGCCAAAATTGCCCCCAAAATATTTTGTTAATTTCATACCCTGCCAACAACCTTACATCACCAAAACGGCTCAACTCTGTCATCAAACCCATTAATAAATGTTGGGTAACATTAGCCGTGCAACGCTAACAGTTAGCCCTGTTACTGTGTGTGTGACTGTCACAGGTGCACCAGTAGTCTCATGATAAACGGAGAGACAGCATGGCATGGAGGGCCTGAGTAAATCAATATGCTGCACGCAGCACTACAATTAAATGAGATTAAGCCCGTTTCAGATGGTCAAATTTGTGGTAAAGTTGCCGTCATAGGACAACTTTGCAAGATTGTGCAGAATTCACAGGGATTGGCTGAATTTGTGTTGATTGTTGCAATCACAACACCTGGAGGGACTGTTTTACCATGTTTTATACTCAAACAACAAATAAAATTAGCAGCACTATGCACTTTTTGTTTGCAAAAAATTAATAACATAGCTAATACGCTTTGTAAACATATGAAAATCAAATCTGCATTAACGTGAAGGAAAGACTGTCTTTGAAATGCTTGCTGGAGTGTGTGTGTCACTGTAGATGAGGACAAGGGATCACTGGCATCTGGGTTTGCCTGTTACACATCCATTCAGTAAGCAAAGGAAAACCCAGACTGTTACTAAATCTAGTTGGTGCTGAACATTATTTACTGTGAATTGTGAACCATGATTTTCTAGAATTCTAGAATTTAACAGTGGTTTAATGTGAAACCGGTAACTGTTTCATCCCTATTTCTAAACACATCCCAGTTCATCCTATGTGCCTAAAACTGCTCAGATTCAAAATTCACAATCTAACGTAGTCAAAACTTTAATTAAATTGTGCTTTATGACTTATCAGTATTAGTTAAAAGATTTCAGAGGTTTCTGTAACAAGAACTTTCTGAAACTTTCTGGCATGAACGAGGTGCTCCTAAAAAGGTGTCTGGCAGTTGCCAGAAGCACCTAAGAATTAAACCAGGTCCTGGGTGCAATTACAGCTTTTCTCAAATCTTTCCTCATTATAATAATTACAGGTATTTCTCTTTCACAGTAACTCTCAGTTTATCTTTGAGGTCAGAGTGTCAGTGGCTTGTTTCAGCTTTAGAATTAGAGGTCATGTGTTTCTTAAGAACCAGAAACACTTTCTGTTTGAGACACTTGGACAAACATACAAAAGCACCCTATAGTTGCTGCGTGGGCATCAGGATATAACCAAGGCTCAGTCAAAAACTGTCAGTAAACACAGACACAGCAGTTAAGAGTGAAAAGGCCCAGACCACTTCCTCAAATAGCCCCTGATGGCAGTTTTATGGACAATAAACTCGGTACTTATTCATGTTTTAAAATTAACAAGCCTTTTTGTCTACTGATCGTTGTTTTAAAAAAGTGGCACAGAAAAACGGCATAAAGGTGTTCACTGCATCATACTTGAGTCACAATGTATTTACATGTATTTCAAGATAACATGCATTTGTGGAGAACTTGGAAAAGAGAGAAACAACAACTGTTAAAGTAGATTTTTACAAGATGGAAATTAACATAAAGTAAAATGAAAATAATAAAAAGCTTTGTGGGACTAAATACTGATTCAATAAGATATTAACAAGATTAATATATGGAAAATAACTTTTGAGACATCAGGCAACATACCAGGAAACTTCATGTACTTGAAAGATTGATCAACAATCTGTTGTTGGTAATTCTGCTTTCTTAAAAATCCAGTCTTGTCATGGTGTGAAGAATAAATTCCCCATAAAATGTTGAAGGAGATGTCCTTTACCATCAAACCCTCCCATTTATATAGGTATGTATGGGTTTACCCCAAACCTTTCCACTCTGCAGGATTTTATTCTGATGTTTATGTGTGAAAAATGCCTTATCCTTTATTTTACTAGTCTTTTTTGTTTTTGTTTTTTTCTTGGGTTCATATTCACAAAACAAACAAGTTGATTTCAGTGTGTGTTGTCTGTTCTTAAATGTCTTAAAGATGACAACAACAAAATCACAATCCTGCACTCAGTATTGCATGTAAATTAATGGAGGAATAAAGTTTTGTAAACATCAGTGCCAAGTTTGGTTCGGAATTAAAACGTTACCTTCAATCCCACTCTTCTTTTTCTGTAAAACCTGTTCAGTCACCTCGTTCCCAGATGGTCACTGAATTTTCACCAGTGTTCTCTCTTCTACCCTTGCACACATCACTTTAGTTAAACAGCAAACCATTCTACTTGAACATCGAAGACTGGTATCCACATCCCACTTTCGCCAAAAGCCAATGGAATGAAATGCATATTAGCAGGACAAGTAACAGGAAACTGTGTAAACTTAACAACTGTAACCCCTGAAAGAACAACTATCCAACAGCAGTATCTGCAACCTCAGAGCACATTTTCTGCCCACATGTCCATCACAGAGGAAGAAATGTAAAAACTCTTGACCGCAAACCTCTTTTGACCAAGGTTTCAAATGGACTCTCAAAGCTAGGCAACCTCTAGCTGGCTCCAGAGTACAGCCACGTCTTCAATCACTTGCTGACCACAAGCACACGGTTCAGTTTTACAGATGACACCCCTGTGGCAGCCTTCATCTCTTTATTCTGCCAAGTCACTAGGTTTTTAGCCACTTTACTGTTACTAACGTTTCTGATTAGTTAACTCTTTTTTTTGTACTCCAGAAAAAAAAAAACAGACAATGTGTACACCTTTCTGAAACACCATTTCAAACATTGTGTCTATGAATACCAGAAGAATTTGGCACCAAAAAGATAAAAAAAAACCTGTGTGTGACTTACCTGAAGAAGTTGAGTGCGCACTCATTGACTTTTCTCCCTTCATCTAGACATTTTCTGGGATCCTTTTCCTCCCAACGACAGAGCATGAACTCCTTGTTTGGTTTGTCACATTGGGAGCCAAAATGGTGGGCAGCTGCCTTCAGCACCGCAGAAGACACATTTATCTAGACAGAAACATAAAAAAAACAGTGAGTCTTGGTAAAAATTAGTATCTAAGAAATACAGGACCACCAAGATATATTTTTTTAAGGTACAGGATTTTTTTTGGTAGCTTGACACGTGTTGATATTAGTGAACCCATTAAAAGAGCCAAAAGAAAGCGTCTGATCAAAGATGATGGCTCAACTTATAGGAAAGTGTTAGGATCATTTCAAAAGTGAAAACTTCCCCCTTGAACATGTCATATTCAGCCTGCTCTTGTATATTGTTAATTGAACTTGTATCTTTAAAAAAACAGACTTAGTGATCTAGGAGTCAGCTGGGACTTTTTATAGAGCACAACCACCAGGACAGAGATGTTTCCAGGTGAACTGCATTGATCTCTACTGGTAATGTAGCACAAAAGTGATGAAAACACTTTGCATTTCTTTAAAAGAAAAGAAAATAATCTGTGAGGGCATAAGTAAAAGAACAGATATACTTCAAATATAAAATAGTACTAGAAAGTTGATAGTAGAAAGGTGAAAGTCTTGTGTATTACAGTGTAATTCTTCAAATACTTATATACTGAATTTAAAAGAAACTTGTACCTGCACGCACAGGCATGTCAAAATAAGTATCGGAGAGAGACAAGCTGCTGCCAGCTGACACTTGACTTCCAAGGACAAGTTCAACTGTTGCTGACATAAACAGGGCAGAGGTTTGTTTTGGGGCAGCCATTGTACAGTTATTGTCACCACTGGGGCGAATTAAAAAGATAATGAGGGCAACAAAGATGCAATACAACGTTAACTATGGTTAACAGCCAATGAGTTCTTGCATATTGTGGTTCCTATCATGCTATTTAAGGTTGCTAATGTGGATATCATAAAGATTTAGGCATAACGTTATTTGCTTATTGAATTACGATTAATCTAGGTTATTTTACTAACGTTCGGCACCGTGAAGGCAGGTAACGCAGGTGAAAAAAGTTATAAGCTACTTAACTGGGTGTATCTTGAAGCATACAGTAGTTAGCATCAGCTAGCTAGTTAGCTAGCATGTTCTGTCATACTCCGTTTTGTAATTTAAGCGAAACAATAACGACTGCTCACCTCATCGACGTTCAGCTCCTGCAGCGAGGGAACCTCCACGGTTGTGGGCATGGCTTCGTGTCTGTACAATAACACAAACACAGAGTCTCAAATGAAAAACATTCAAGGTCCTCGTCTGGCTCCAGGACGAGCGACGAGGCCGGAGAAGGTCAGTTTACTGCGCCTGCGGTTCTCGGCTGGGAGGCGCGTTCTGATGACGTATGCAAATGCGTAACTTGAGCTCACGCATGCGCACTGGTGGAACTGTAAAAGAGAATTTGGATCAATTTGTCATTTGTTTCGTCAAGTTTCATTTCGGAAAGTGTTAAAATGGTAAAACTGTGATAATTTATCCCTCTGCTCCTCACACTGAACAGTTTAAACTGCAGCCTCGCTTTGACTCTCCGTTGCCACGTTGCCATAGTAACGGTACACTTGCCTGTTGTGCAGTCTTGCCCAGCTGATATCAAACCCACGGTTTGTGTGCGTGTTGGTTTATTTAAAGAAGAAAGGGTGCTGGAAAGTACATTTGGTAATGGAGCTTATTGGAAGCAGTTACAAAGGAGAGACAAAAAATGGCAGGTAAATATGGGGTAAAGTTACGACGTCAGGTATGATGAGACACATAAGGTTAATAAGCCAGTCACTAAACATGTTATTGCATTGTTACTAGAAATGTGCTTTACATAAAACAAACATTTCTATTAATATTAGATAGCAAATCAAATCAAATATTTGACTTATAATCAAAATATTTTCACTATACACTTTATTTTTTCTGAGAAAGGGGTTTGAGCAGGTTTTGAATGGGCCTAATGCAGTCAGGTAAAATGGGACAAAAAAAAAGCTAAATGGGATATTTTTCTGAAGTTAATTCAGCATGTTTTTGGGCTGCCAGGTGCCATAAAATTTTGAGTTAGGCTATTGCGTGCCACCCTAGAATATTACAAACATTTTCAGTATTTTTGTCACTTAAAAAGTTTTAAAGATGATGCAGTGAGTCCATGTCAACCACAATAGTCCAGAATGAGCCATCACTGGTAAAAATACTGTTAAAAATATGTTATGTATCATCTATATTAGAGCCTGCATTCTCTCTGTGCACAGTTTTGTTCTGGGATACTACCAGTACATATTGAAACTATACTTGAACTTAAGTAGACCAGAGATTATGTCATTACTGTGAGCTTGGTGATGTAGAGAGTGAAGAAGGAAACACACAATTTATACACAGTAGCAGGCTCTTGCTTACAAAGCATCATACTTGCAGGTATACAGTCTTTCTCTCTCTCCCTCTTTCTGTCTTTCTTGCTCTCAACTTTCCTGTCTGTCCTACACTTATTCTTAACACATCTATTTAATTTGCTTATTTTCCATTTGTATTAGGTATTTATTTGGTTATGCCAATGTTTTGTGTGGAATTGTTAACTTTATATTTGTCATTTATTTTGTTTTGTGTCAGCATGATGGCACTTGAAAAAATGTCATTCTTTAAATGTGTCTAAATAATCCCATAAGAGGTGGGTCATGTTGAAATGGCCAGACACGAAAATAAATATTTCATTCATTCATCTGGTAGCCTACACACAAATAAGCACACATGCATGTCCGTTTTAGACAATATAGCCTAGCACCAAGGAGACAGGCAGTAAAAGAACAGGGAAAGCATGGCAAAAATATTGGATGATTTTTTTTTAATAAACAGCCACGTTATTTTTAATTATCAAATGAAATAATGACTTATCTTATAAATAGATTTAATCATTTAAACAAACAAACAAACATGACCCATTTTACCTTACCAGCGGTCCCATTTTGCATGAACATGTAATTGGAGCGAGGTAAGGGTTCTTGATGTGTTTGAAGGTCGAACGTTTTTATTTTACTTGGCAACATATTTTCTTAGTAGAAATGTAGCAGAGATGCATAACAAGTTCTAACACTCAACGTAGTCCTCAGTATTAGGTGGTTTTCTTGGTGATCTACCTAAAAGTGTCCCGTTTATCACACCTCATAACTCTAAAGAAAGCAGGATATAGACACCCAAATGAATAAAGTCACACTGTTGGTTTCAAGCACTGTGTGACCATCTCGTCTCTCCCTCAGGATGGATGGAAAAGGAAAGTACACCTTCCCCACAGACACCAAGTATGAGGGAGAGATGAAAGATGGGATGTTTCATGGTAAAGGAGTGCTTCACTTTCCCAATGGAAGTAAATATGAGGCCACCTGGGAGCACGGCAAAGCTAAACAGGTGAGGAGGGGCGTGTGTGTGTGTGTGTCTCTGCATGCGTGTCAGAATATATGCATCCACATGCATGACTGTGTGTTTCACATTGGTTATAGTTGATGATACATCTGGTCCCTTTTAGCAATCACTCACCATTATTGTCGTAGTTATTAGGTTTCTCTCCTCTTTTCCCTGCGTGAAGCTGCAGTCCCTCCTGTTCTGAAGCAATCTTTCACGGGCTTTTGCCACAACAGCGATCACTCCAATTATTATCATCATTTCAGCTGCGGTTCATTTGAAATGATAGCAGCTCTAAAGCATGTCAAACCTTAGCCCAGACTTCCCTGCACCTGCATCCATGCCAGCCCGAGAAAACCTTCGAACATTCAAAACAGATCTAAACCAGCCACAAGAAATTCAAACTCAGGGAATTATATCTGGTCACCTATAGCTTGTTCTGCAACTTGCGCCTCTCCCTTCAAACAATGCCTCTCAGCCTGGGAGTCCCTGAACAGATGGGTTTTCCCTTTTTAATAACCAAATAAAACAAGCATTATCCTAAAAGATTGAGATCCACTGTGTATGTTAATTTGGATATTTAGAATTCTAAATCTTGTGGATGAGGTGTAAATGCCTCTGCAACTACAATATTTAAACTTTATGAAACAGTAGGAACAAACACAACAAATATGAAATTAACAGTAACCTCTAATTATGTCTGGTGCAGAAACAGATGATAACAGAGCTTAGATTTAACACATCATAGCAGGAGAAGCACATCTGTAATTAATAACATTAATCAAGGCTGCATCCCACAGGTGTTCAGGACTGTTCATGCTTTAGATGAACCTGTGCTGCAACGAATGTGATCCCCCACCAAATATGCACCCCTCAAAAATGGCATGAATTAATGCCATTTCCATGATTGCATAATTATACTGTTGACCTTGATGTGAAGGTTCTTATGTGTCGAGATTTTGCAAAATTGCAGAACAATGTATGTTTATTTTTCAATTCCAATAACAGTGCTATCATTCCTTACACACACACACACACACACACACACACACACACATATACACAGTGTGTCAGTTCACCCAGAATACCAAAAGACATATTTTTCCACTTTCCCATGGTGGTATCTTTGTTGACAGCTTTGGTTTTATGAGGTTTTGAGATATCTATCTCTAAGGTTTCCACCATAACCCAGAGACAATGGAGGAAAATGTAAATTCTTTTGTGGTGCTTAAAGCACTGAAAAGTGACATTTGAAAACCTCAGCAGCAACTTATCTCTGCAGAAACCATGTCTGGGGTACGGAGGATAACCCCCAGACCTTGCTTTCAACAGTTTTCACTGGGACAACTTTCTGCCAAAATAATAGCCCCAAGGAAAACTGCCAACAGTGAGGTCTGTGGATGATCTTGAGTAACATTGTTCCCACTGTTGAGTTTTTCAAATGTAATTTTTTCACTGCTTTGAGGAGCACAAATTACCTCCATTGTACATGGTTGTATCACAAAAATTTTAACTATCTGCATAGCCAGAATCCAGAGGTAAATGGAAATTCTCAATTCTTAAAACTCAATTGAGCCAATAAAATGTCATCATCATTGTGCTTCCTTACAAGGGGTCATTCACCTTTGCTGATGGTCTGCAGTACCAGGAGAAGGACTGGGACTACTGTGATGGATATGACAGGCGCTTCTACAGTGAGAGGTGCAGTGGGCTCAGACCTGCAGGTTGGAATTTATTTATATGCTGATTTGGTCAGACAGAAGTGGTTTCTGCTCCCTCCTTCTTCCCACCTCCAAACACAGTACACATTATTTTGTTTAAAAATATAATGAGCTTCGCCAACAATTAAAACACGATTAATACACCGCTCAAAAAATTAAGGGAACACTTAAATCACACATCAGATCTTGATGAACAAATTATTCAAGTTGAAAATCTTTACTGATGTACATCGTACAATTTATTGAGAACAAAATGATGCAACAAAGGTCAATGGAAACCAAAATCATCGACCCACTGAGGGCTGGATTCAAAATCACACTGAAAATCAAAGTAGAAAAATTGAAACTGGCAACTCATAACGTGACCCAGTAGTGTGTATGGCCCCTGTGTGCCTGTATGCACTCCTGACAACGTCTGGGCATGCTCCTGATGAGTCGGCAGATGGCGTCCTGGGGGATCTCCCCCCACACCTGGATCAGGGCAACATTAAGCTCCTGGATAGTCTGAGGTGGTACTTGGCAGCCTTGGATGCACTGATAACGTCCTATAGGTACTCAATTGGATTAAGGTCAGGGGAGTGAGAGGGCCAGTCAATGGCATCCATGCCTTCATCATCCAGGAACTACCTTCACACTCTGACCACATGAGGCCAGGCATTGTCCTGCACCAGGGGGTTGGGGTACCGTTGGCTATAACATGGAGGTCTCCTCTTTTGGAGGTTTTCTTGACTCCACTGCACCTGTTGTCACTTTCATTCACACTAAAGCAGGTAAAACTGATTCACAGTCACTTGTGCTTCCTAAATGGACAGATTGATATCCTTGAAGTTTAACTGATTTGGTGTTATACTGTGACGATGAAATATTCTTGTGATTTTTTTTGAGCAGTGTACATTGAAACTGGAAGCATTTGTGAGTTTCATCCCAAAACATTAACTTGATGAGCATTCATTTACAAACCAAAAAACAGAAATTAAGAAATTAAGAAATTAAGAAGCTGCACAGTGTGATCATAGATTCACTTTCTGTATTGTTGTACTGAATGACTGTCTCACAAAGCAGGGTAACTAATCTGGCTTAATATCTTTTGGAGTTAAATTTGGATGGCTCTTTTTATTTAAGTCCATGTTCAAGATTTTAGACACTAACTTATTTAGTATAACTGTTTTTGAGTCCTCTCCTTTACACATATGAGCCATTAGAAAGGGCTGAGATTTGAACACAA